ATGACGATCTGACCCAAAAAGTCGGGTTTCGACTAGGTGGTGAGTATGCATGATTCCTTCGGTAAAACCTAACCCAACAGTATGAAATTACACTTTTAATTAAAATATTAATATATCTACATATTATTATATTATATTCATTTGTTAAAGTATTGACCATGGCGCTTTTTTTTTTTTTTTAAATAACAAAAACAAAATAAAGAATAAAAAAAAATGTCCCAAGAAAGCACAAACCATAAAGAAAAATAATTGTGAAAAAAAGTCCAAAAAAGCCTAAAATTGTAAGGTTCAATCCATCAACTCGATCAGAATCCATCTCTCAATCTGCCTTTTCCACTTGGTTGATCTCAAAACCATCGATGATCGGATGTTAATGAGATTTTTTCAACCTGATCCCATTTGGTTGGGTGGCGAATGACATATACCCTGATTTAACCTGTGAACACCCCTAACTATGATAGTATATCCCTCTCACTCACATAAATATAAGCTTTAGCAATGAACCAATCCTAAAATTTAAGATCCAATCCCAAACTATCTATAAGCTTAAAAATATGAATTTTATGAATTTCAGACTGAGCTTAGGCTATACCAGTCTAATTTATTTTGGATTTTTATTTAACCCTATTATTAAATTCATTGGAAAAAAATTATAATACAAAATTTTAAAATACGTTACAACAATTAGAATTTCATATTAAATAATTAAAAATAGAAAATAAATTTTATTTATTGAATTACAAAATTACATCAATACATCTATTATGTTATTGAATTATATGCATATTTAATCTCATAAAAATATAATTAGTAATTTCATAGTTGATGTGCTACTCATTTATTTTTGTAGTTTTACTATTGTCACCTTACTAAAAAAATTATACACAAAAAGATTTTTTTTTAAAAAAGAAGAGAGAACAAGAGAACAAACGAGAAAAAGATAATATCCATTATTCATTGAATAGGAACCTAATACAAACTTTTAGATGGGTTTTGAAAAGCCCATCGCTGGTCATGGTCCAAGACCAAATTAATGTCCAATAATCTGGCCTGGTCCGTGAGCTAAGGTTTGAGCTGGGTTAAACAATCTACGACTGAGACTCAAATTTTTCATCAAATTTAAATTCGATGGAAATTTGATAAAAACAATATTCTAATCGTTTCACCAAATTAATATTAAATGAAGTGAGTTTTATTTTATTTTATTTTATTTCCATCAAATCAAGAGAATGTTTAGGGTGTGTTTGGTTTGGTTTTAGGAGATAAATTTTTATGTTGTGATCCTGGCATAATAGTAGAAGCTCAATGGAATAGATTTTTGTGTTTTCAGGTGCTTCCATCCAGGCCCCATATATTAAATATGTTGATTTTTGTGTCTGTTTTTGATGTGGTCATGCCCAAACTTTTAGGGGTAGGTTTAGGGTGTGACATTAACAGTAGAATGATCTTGAGTAATTAAGCTAGTTCTTTTGGAACGATTACTAGGGAGATTAAGTAAAGGTTGATCGAGAGGTTGTTTAGTAGAAGTAATATGTTCTGAGTCTAAATGATTTTCTAATTTATCTAATTGTTTACCAATTGTTTTTAGACATTGATTTGTATAATTATTTTGTTCAATAACTTTTTTGATTTCAGGATTAGTGCCAGGTAATTTAAAAGGCGAGGCTGGAACGTCAGAACCTTGGTGATCAACGATTATATTTTCTAATGGAGGATGATTAGAACTAACAGAGGTATTGGGAGAAGTTTTCCATTTATGTTTTGTGATTGTATTAATCTTTTGGTAGTATTGATCCATATAATCAAAGAAGGATAATTCAAAACCATATTGAACCATAAAATCATACCATTTTCTAGTTATTCGGGATTGTTGAGCCGAATCATATTTAGCACGGTAAGCATGTCTTTTAGTTCTATTTTCTTTGGATCTAAAGTCAATAAGTAATTTATCTAAATTAGGAGTAAAATCTTTTTTAATTGTCATTAGTTGAGGATTCACCGGAGGTATGAATTCTTCGAAATCAGTTTGAGTTGGGGAATTATTTGAAGCTATTTCGTCTTCTGGTAAATGTGTATTAGTAGTGTAAACGGGTTTACTAATCTGGGAGGTTGTAGAGTTATCAATTCCTTTTAATTTATTTTGGGAATGTTGGTTGATTGGACCAAGATGGATTTGATTATTTTTCCTAAATAAAGGAGTATTAAATATTTCATCTTCAGTTGTAATTTCAGAAGGGACACTAGATGTACTATGTCTAGAAGACTGACTTCGATTAAACTTAATACCTACTGAACCATCATTATATTATTGAATGTCTTGGATATCTTGAATTGAAGATTGTTGTTGATTATGTTTATAATTTTCATTAACAGTAACCCATTGTTCAGGTAAATTAATATCTTTTATAGCGACCCTGGTCTTTTCCCATTTAATTATTGTATCCGGACTGTTCCGTAGATTTTGTCATTGTATAATGGTTGTTGTTGTTTTTCCTTATTTTCTCTTTTGGAATTATAGGATGTGTTGGGCAGGTTTGTTTCAGGTTGGTTGGGTTTAGAAACCAAGAGTTGCTGTCCAGGTTTTTGGTTCTTCGCTCGAGCGAGGAGTTGTTCGCTCGAGCGAGAGGTAGTGTTTGATTTGGACCTGTAGCTGAGCATTGTTGGCTCGAGCGAGCTTTTCTTCGCTCGAGCGAGTTAGTTCATCCTTCGCTCGAGCTATAGTTCCTTCGCTCGAGCGTGTGTCTGGGTTCTGACCTGAGGGTTTGAGTTCTTCGCTCGATCGAGCTTTCTTTCGCTCGAGCGAGCTTTTGGGTTGTTGGCTCGAGCAAGGCTTCCTTGGCTCGAGCGTAGTTTCTCTGTGTCTGGTAGCTCGAGCGACCAAGTCTTCGCTCGAGCGAGCCTGTCCAGTTTATATACACAGCAGCGGGATTTGATCAGTCTTTTTCATATTCTTTTGATTCAAAACCCCAGGTTCGACTTCTCTCTCTCCCTACTCACCTTCTTTCTTAGATTTGATCCACATAGGGTGTGTTTCTACCCTAGATCCTTCATTAAAAAGATAGAGTGAGGCAAGGGCTACCATTTAATCTGAGCATTTGACGATTTGGAGTACTTTGGTATTTTGGGCATTCATCTATTTTCTTCACCTTTTTGGGTTGTTTTCTTTGAGGTAGGGATTTCCTACTCCATTTTATAGGTTTTGCTCTAAGTTTTGGTATTTTGATGTGTTGGGTTACTTTGGTAATTTTCGGGAAAACCCTAGTTGTTGTAATAAATTAATTTATATAATCAATTCAGGGAAAATTGGGAAATTTAGTTGAATTCATGGAATTAATGAATTTGTCCATTCTCACGCTCGAGCGGACCTCGCGATCTCAGCGTCTATAAAACCTCTAGTTGCTCCAAATTTAGGGTTCTGTTTTCTAGATCTTCTCTAAGGTTTTTAGGATTTTTTTTTGGGGATATATTTTTGATTTTCCTTGATGTTTGATTGAGTTTGAACTCATGTTCTTATAAGCACACATCAAGGAGTTTGTTTGGTCTTCTTTGAGAGTATTCTTCTTCGGTGGACTCTGAAGATTCAAGCACATAGTAATCAAAGGAGTTTGTTGCTGAGTGCAGTCGCTGATTCAACAATAGATGTTGTAGATTCAGCATCAATCTAATCAATTCCGAGATGAAGGTTGCATGAAAGACATACAGAAGATTTGAAGACAAATTAGAAGCGTTTGGGTAATTTGTTTGGCATCTTTGTAATATTTCTTTCTTTCTTTAGTAGTGGATTGATTTGTGACGTTTCGCCCATGGTTTTTTATCACAATTGAAGGTGCTTCAATTGTGATTTTTCCACGTAAAAATCGTTTGTGTCGATTTATTATTTTTTGAAACAACAATCTAAATCACTTTCATACGTGCTTGTTGATTTAAATTGTGAGTTGTAATCGGTTGGGAATCGGAACAATTTAATCTCGATCCAATCACGAATCACTTAGGTTTTTCAAATATTATTAATTTATTCATACTTTTTCCTGATGTAATAGATTGAATTGTAAAATTTAATCAATTTGAAATTTAAAAAAAAATTATTTCTCCAAAAGCAATTGTAGCTGGTATAGTCAAACAATATACTATAAATAATTCATACATTTGGCGAACAACCATCCATCCATTACTTTTAAATAATTCATCAATTCATTTGTCTTTTATTTCTCTTAAATTCTCTAAACCCTCATTTTTAAACTACTAATACTATAATGTAGGTTTAGTTCACTAAAATGAAATTGAATTAAATGATATGACCATGCTTTAGTCTCTTTATAGAATGATTATTCCCTTCACCGAGGTAAAGGATGATTTCATTCATAATATTTTTTATTATTTTTTAGTAAATCAAACTTGAGGATGGGCATTATATTGGAATGATTATTCCATTCAACTTCATTTCAATAAATCAAACATAACTTAAGACCGAAATATTTAAGAAAACATAACTTAAGATTGAAATTATTTCGGGATCCTATTTTTTAGGCAGAATTCGGGAGCCGAGGCGGTAGTCTTGCTTGCCTTGCCTCAGGGCCGGCCCTAATCAATAGATGGGGAAAAAAAATATAGAAATGGTTAATGTATGCTTATGAGCTGATGTTGATTAGAATCTTCTTAGAAACTCCAATATTTAATTACAAAGTCAAGTGTCAACTTAAAAAATTGGAAATAATGGAATTGTTGAAATCGGAAAACACATAACAAACTATTTTCGTAACATCTTAACTGCTTTAACAAATTTCTCTAGCAGTGATGTGCCACAATCTTATTCCATAGCTGACAAGTTTTGAATACTATCTTCCTCATTGATCCATATATACTTATTTTTCTTTATAGAAGTAGCAGTATACAACTTCCATTGATTTCTTTTGCCAGTTCTCATGAGTGAAGAACATTGTAAATTAGGTGAGGAAAAAGAATACACATGATAGCGTCATCATGATTTTTGCAAAATGATCATGGGAATCATTCCTTTCGCTATTTCATATTACTTGTCAGCTTTTGTTTTAGCAAATGACATGCTAAATCAATTCCAACAAATCAATGACAGTGGGGCATTAGTATCTTCTAGACGAGATTTCAAGTTAGGCTTCTTCAGTAAAAGCAATTCGAGGAGCCGATACTTGGGGATATGGTATAACAATATCCCAGTTCAAACCATTGTTTGGGTGGCGAACAGAGACAGACCGCTTAATGATTCATAGGGTGGTCTAAAGACTGGGGATAATGGAAATTTGATACTTCTTGATAGTGGGGGAATAGTTGCTTGGTCTACCAGTATCTGGAATATATCATCAAAACCCACTGTTGCACTGCTCTTAGACTCTGGAAATCTTGTTTTGAGAAGTGAAAATGGTGGGAACACAGAAAGTTATATTTGCCAAAGCTTTGATCAACCTTCAAATACACTGATAGCTGGTATGAAGCTGGGATGGGACTTGAGAGTCGGTTTGGACCAGTATTTGACATCATGGAAGAGCGCAGATGACCCTTCTCCCAAAGATATCTCTTGTCGGTTCGATCTTGATGGTCTTCCACAAGGTGTTATATGTAAAGGGTCTGTTAAGCAGTACCGAACTGGGATATGGAACGGGCTACAGTTTAATGGTGTTGAGCCTCAAAACTCTATCTTCAATGCTAATTTCATCGATAATTTAGAGGAGGTGTATTTCGAGTTTGATCTATATCAACAGATAACAAGGCTGGTTTTGAATTACACCGGGACAATGCAATGTGTGATATGGAACAATAGGAACCTTGAGTGGGTTGTCATTAATACAGTACCTAGTAATCCATGCAAAAGATATGGCCAGTGTGGTCCTAATTCTATTTGCACAATCTCTAATGCATTCACATGTAGTTGTTTGGATGGATACATTCCTAAATCTTCGCAAGATTGGAATACAATGGTTTGGAATGGTGGGTGCATTCACAAATACCCATTAAACTGCTCTGATGGAGAAGAATTTGTGGCATTCAGAGGCATGATCGTCCCTAATTTGTCAAAGTTTTCTCTGAACACTAGTATGACACTTAAAGAATGTGAGTTGGAGTGTTTAAAGAATTGTTCTTGTGCTGCTTATGCTAACTCCAATACTACTAGAGAGGCATGTGGATGCTTGCTTTGGTATGGGGATCTGATTGATATTAAAAGATTCGCAAATCCTGGCGATCAAACTTTGTATATTCGGGTTACAGCTGCAGACCTCGGTACGTTTCTTGTTATTCGTGTTCAATAATTCATTAGGCTATATAAATTTGGCCAAACACGTATACTACACGATTTTTCTTTTAAATTTTTATTTATATAATTTTCACTGGATGGTGTTTGTAGAGTCTAGATCAGATTCCAAGGAGAAGAAGAAGAAGCTGCTGTTGGTGATTATCCCCGTCTCAGTGGCTTTGTTGTCGTTCCTCCTTGCTTCTTGTGTCATGTGGAAGAGGATAAAACAAACAAAAGGTAAATCTAAAGTTCCTTAATTTGGTTGAAAGCTAACTTTATGTGGAATTTATATAGTAACTAAAGATTTCGTAGTCAATGTTATTTAAATGAATAGAACTATAAATAAATAACTAAAACGGAAGGAAACAACAAATGAAAGCATGATTTAGAATTAAATGATAATTGAAAGCAAAGCACTGGCAGGTGTGTTTTTGAATTTATTTCCTTTGAATTGATAGCAAAACATTGGCGGGTGTGCTTATTTATTTGTTTGCTTTTAATTTATAGCAGGGTACTGATGGATGTGCTTTTTTATTTATTTGTTTCATTTTAATTGATAGTAGAGTACTTGAAGGTGTGTTTTCTTATTATTTGCGTTTAATTGATAGTAAAGCACTGGTGGATGTGCTTATTTGTTCGTTTTCTTTTAAGAATTGATAATTGAAAGCAGAGCACTGGCTGGTGTGTTTTTGAATTTATTTCCTTTCAATTGATAGCAAAACATTGGCGGGTGTGCTTATTTATTTGTTTGCTTTTAATTTATAGCAGGGTACTGATGGATGTGCTTTTTTATTTATTTGTTTCATTTTAATTGATAGTAGAGTACTTGAGGGTGTGTTTTCTTATTATTTGCGTTTAATTGATAGTAAAGCACTGGTGGATGTGCTTATTTGTTCGTTTTCTTTTAAGAATTGATAACTGAAAGCAGAGCACTGGCGGGTGTGGTTTTTTATATTTTAATTTATAGTAGGGTACTTGCTGGTGTATTTTTGTATTTATTTGCTTTGAATTGATAGCAGGACACTGGCAGGTGTGCTTATTTATTTGTTTGATTTTAATTTATAGGAGGGCACTGGCGGGTGTGTTTTTGTGTTGATTTGTTTGATTTTAATTTATATAATGGCATTTACGAGTGTACTTTGTTATTATTTGCATTTAACTGATGCCAAATCTGCACATCTGTTGTCTACGTGCACATCTGTTGTCTATGCGATTTGTTATGTAATTCGGACCCGTAGATAGAGAGTTAGAGCCGAAAACGTCCTAAACTTAGTCGAAAAAGGGCGTTTCGGGGGGAAAAATTCAAAACAGCCACCGAACCACCGTCTAGCTCACACGGACAGTTTCCCAATGACAAATTGGACTTGTGACAACTGGCAGAATGTAATCCGGACCCGTAGGTTAGGTGTTAGAGCAGAATACGTCTTAAACTTAGTCGAAAAATGGTGTTTCGGGGGGCGAAAATTCAAAACAACACCCTAACCATCATGTGGCTCACACAAACAATTTCCTAATGACAAATAGGACTTGTGACAACTGATGGAATGTAATCCTGAGCCGTAGGTTGGGAGTTAGAGTGGAATACGCATTAAACTTACTCGAAAAATGGCGTTTCGGGGGCAAAAATTCAAAACAGCCCCCGCATGACCGTGTGACTCTCAAGGATAGCTTCCCATGACAAATAGGACTTGTGACAACTGATGGAATGTAATTCGGACCTGTAGGTTGGGTGTTAGAGCTAAATACGCCCTAAACTTAGTCGAAAAAGGGAGTTTCGAGGGCGAAAATTGAAAACAGCCCCCGAACCACCATGTGGCTCACACGGATAGTTTCCCCATGACAAAAAAGACTTGCAACAACTGACGGAATGTAATCCGGACCCGTAGGTTGGGAGTTAGAGTCAAATACGTCCTAAACTTAGTCGAAAAGGGCGGTTTGGGGGTAAAAATTCAAAACAGCCCATGAACCACAGGGTGAATCTCATGAACAGCTTCCTTATGGCAAATAAGACATGTGACAACTGACAGAACATAATTCGGACCCGTAGATAGAGAGTTAGAGCCGAATACGCCTTAAACTTACTTGAAAAAAAGCTTTCCGAGGGCGAGAATTCATAACAGTCCCCGAACAGCCGTGTGACTCTCATGGACAGCTTCCCCATAGAAAAGAGGATTTGTGACAACTGACGGAATGTAATATTTGGTTTGAGACTTTTAAATCCTCTGCTTTCTCAGCCTCGAGACAAAGAAGTATGTCATTCAGACTCTAATGTTATGCAGGTCGGAAATGTCACAAGGGAATAAACAATCTCAACGAGAGGTATAATGTATTCCTTGTTTCTGTTGCCAATTTGTAGATGTATACTCGGATCATGTAGAAAACTATCCTGAACAAACACCATATATGAAGGTTGCAGCTTTAAATAAGCTAATTATGTCTGTCTGTGTCCAAACACCAACTTAAGCATCTAACTTTCTATTATTGTTCTCACCATGCAGGTTGAGGTACTAAGCTACATAAGACATCCAAACATGGTTCTTCTTCTGGGTGCCTGCCCTGAGTATGGATGCCTTGTTTATGAATACATGGAAAATGGCAGCTTAGAAGATAGGCTCTTCCCGAAAAACAACTCTCCTCCATTGCCATGGAAAACACGCTTCAGAATATCTGCTGAGGTCACCACTGCTCTTCTTTTTCTTCACCGAACAAAGCCACAGCCTCTACTGCATCGAGACCTCAAACCTGCAAACATTCTTTTAAACCGAAACTATGTGAGCAAGATCAGCGACGTTGGTTTAGCCAGGTTGGTCCCACCATCTGTCGCTAATGGTGTCACTCAATATCAAATGACTGTCCTGTGAAAATTTGGACTATTCCCTCACATCAGATGTTTCCAGGACTTCTGGCTCTTCCCAAACTTCGGTAAGTTCAATACAACAGAAATTCTGTGTACAAGATATAATTATTAATCAATGGGATCATAATTATGGATCATCTATCATGATTATCTGATTATATCTTAATCAACAAATGGAGCACCCTAATTGAATGATCGTGATAAGTAGCCTCATATTATATTTAATTTGTTATGGGTGTGACTTAAATTTGACCCAAGGATGTCTTGTAGTTGGTACGCACATTCAAATGCTACTCCTGCCACAGTTTCCAAAACCAAATATAAGACATTCTTCATAATTCTAATGTGTATTTCTTTAAATTAGTTTCAAGGAAAGAAAAATAGGTAGCACAATGGACTGATAAACTCATTGCATATGTATTTAAAACAAAATAGACTGAGGTATGTCCAAGCATACAACAGTTCTGCAGTATTTTCTAGCTTTTAGTGCCTATAAAAGAACTTTGCTGTTACAGGGTGTCATTTCAGTGGCACCGAGCAAGCATCCATCCAATTCACGAGCAAGAAACATTAACTTAAAGCACCGAGGAAGGTACTTTGTTCTCTTCATTTGATTGAAGGGATAAAACCCACAATTTTTCGACCCCAGTGGTCAATATGTTTCGAAGTTTGTAAAATACTAACACATATGTTAATTATGAAATTGCCTATGCTCTATGCTTTATTAGCTTTGTTTTCTTTTGCTGGTTGTCAATGAGAAGGCTGAAATTAAACACATTGTTGTGCACAAAAAAGATGAGGTCATGAGCTGTAGTCTTGCAAAGTTTTGTTATAGCAGATTGACTTGCATGCCTCCATTTGAATGACTATATTACAGAATGAACTAGAGGCTGAAATGAGGAGATTAAGAGATCAATTTAACCAAATGATGGAGATGTACAATTCAGTTTGCAAAGAAGCAATCTCTTCCAAAGAGAAGGTAAAAATCTTGACTTGAACTAGATTGACGTTTCCTATCTTCTACATGGAAGTAATCTCACAATAAGTCTTTCCAAATGTGACTACAAATCACTTGTGTTTCCCAGGCAAAGGAGATTGATGAATGGAGGCCAGAGGAGGAACGCAAGGTTATGGAAGCAAAGCAAGCCCAAGAGGCTGCGATGGCTTTGGCCGAGATGGAAAAACATAAAACCAAGGTGGCAATTGAAGCAGCACTGATGGCACATTTAATATAAAAATATGAGATCCAGATGCGAAAGAATGCAGAGATGAAGGCCATACAAGAGGTAGGAGAGAGGAAGAAGGCTATGGACGCGTTGACATGCTCTGAAATTCGGTATAGAAAGTACCCCATTAAAGAGATTGAAGTTGCAACAGACTACTTCTCCAATTCATTGAAGATTGGTGAAGGAGGATATGGACCTGTTTATAAAGCCTTTCTTGACCACACACCCGTTGCCATTAAGGTTCTAAGGTCGGAAATGTCACAAGGGAATAAACAATTTCAACGAAAGGTATAATGTATTCCTTGTTTCTGTTGCCAATTTGTAGATGTATACTCGGATCATGTAGAAAACTATCCTGAACAAACACCATATATGAAGGTTGCAGCTTTAAATAAGCTAATTATGTCTGTCTGTATCCAAACACCAACTTAAGCATCTAACTTTCTATTATTGTTCTCACCATGCAGGTTGAGGTACTAAGCTACATAAGACATCCAAACATGGTTCTTCTTCTGGGTGCCTGCCCTGAGTATGGATGCCTTGTTTATGAATACATGGAAAATGGCAGCTTAGAAGATAGGCTCTTCCCGAAAAAGAACTCTCTTCCATTGCCATGGAAAACACGCTTCAGAATATCTGTTGAGGTCACCACTGCTCTTCTTTTTCTTCACCGAACAAAGCCACAGCCTCTACTGCATTGAGACCTCAAACCTGCAAACATTCTTTTAAACCGAAACTATGTGAGCTGATGATGTATCCACATACTGCACCCAAGGTAACACCCTTACACCAGCAGCTGATGTATCCATGTCTTCTATAATCATACACCCAAGGTAGCCACATATTGCACCCAACAGCACCCAAGGTAGAAACAGAACATGTCGCACCCAACACAGAACCTCAATACCAGCAGCTGCTGTATGCTGCCATAGGACAGCAATATGCATCACAGATGATCACATACTGTGAGTCATACAACATCTGTTGTATGTTGCCATAGGACAACAGCATATAACAGAACAGCAGCATACAAAAGACTTCAACAGACTTCAACAAGACTTCAATTACAGCAGACCAAAACCAAAACCATGAACACGCCTTAACCAGCATTTAGCCTACCAGAACAGAATAGAACTCAATACCAACAGAATAGAACTCATTGCTCGAATGTCACCAACAGAACAGAACAACACAGCAGAACAGAACAACCAGCAGAACAGAACACAACACAGATGATGACAACACAGCAGAACAGAACAACTAACACAGATGATGACCAACTAACATATATTCCATCCAAGATTTTGTTTCCAATCTGAATCAGATCAGGTTGTGTATTTGAGTGCTGCTGTTTTAGTTGTTCTCTCAAGCCAACTTCCCTTAACCTTGAAATCACAAACTTCTTCTTTAGTATTGACAGCCAAGAACACATCTAATTCGGTCTTGAATTGGATAAGTGACTACTTTTTAACACTGAAAAACAGATCTTTGGGGTCTGAGCTCAGTGAAACCAATGCTTCTGAATAGTCGACAATTTCATCAGTTGGAAATGAAATCAGGGCAGAAGATGCTGTGGCACTGTTATTGAAACATAAAAGAGGGTACCATGCAGTTGATGATGAGGCAGGACATAACATTGAAGACGATAAAATGCCAAAAAGAGTGCTTGGACCAGAGAGACCTTCATTTCTTGACGGGAAAATGGATTATGAATCCTGGGTGCCTCCTAAAGGTGAACTGTTGTCTTTGGTTTATTGATTATCACTTTATTGGGAGTTTTTATTATTATTTATTTATTTATTTTTAATGTTATTGTTGCTGATCGTATATTTGTGATGCTTCATCCAGGACAATCAGGCGATGGACGGACTTCACTAAATGATCTTTTTAGTTACTGAAATCTCAGCATCAGAGGAAGGAATTCCTGTAAGGGAGGGTTATATGCTACTTAGTTGTTTTACTTGGTTACTGTGTATAAAAATGAGTTTTTTGGTGTATCGGCTTTTATGCCAATTATCACTCATCAGAGTTATTAGGTTGTGAACTTTGGTGTTTAGAACTATTGTTCGCCTAGTGTATATATTTCACAATTTTTCTTCAGCCCATTGTGTTGATCATGATGACTGACGAGAATTATGTTTTGTGCTGTGTTTTTAGTTTTTCTACGGAGCTGAATTGTCATTGCATTTACATTTAAAGCTCTGCCCACAGCTTTTTATTCTGATCAAATGATTTTTTGAATTAAGCTTGAACATTTTATACTTAGAGCTCCAAACTTAATAAAATTTATTCTGATCAAATGAGTTTTAGAATTAAGCTTGAAGATTTTATACCTAGAGCTCCACCGAACAAAAATTTTATTCTGATCAAAAGATTTTTAGAATTAAGCTTGGACATTTTATACCTAGAGCTCCACTGAATAAAAATTTCTGCTTATGTCTGGATAACGTATTCTTGGTAGAGTTGTTTAAATAGGTTTCCTCATCAATCTGATTTAGCTCCTGGTTGGCTAGTAACTTAAGCTGACTAAGTGCCCCAAAAGATGTATAGACCTGTAGAGTGGAAGGGGTTGAAAAGATTGTGTATGCTCTTGATTTCATTGCAGTTTAAATGAGAAAAAAAAAATTTAAAACATAATACTAATACATAATGTTGCTAGCAACAATTGCATTACCAAAACTATTAATTTCAATTAACATAATACTAACACAAATTTACAAGAGAAGGATATAATATTACAATCAGTGAGCCATATGGACCATACCTCACACAAAAACCCCTCATGAGACTATAAATTGTAATTCATCTGTGTATGCAAGGTTAGCTATCCTGAATGGGTTCTGCAACTTTCGGCATTTCTCCTGTCAACCCGATTCTGCAGATCTGTATCCATTGGAAAGCTTAATATCCTTCATGTTCGAAGACATGATTCACTGAGGAAGAATGTGTACTGTTGCAAAATTGTACATTGGCAACCTCTTGAAGCTTCTTGCACAATGAATCTACTTCAGAAAATCTTCTAAACCATCTCAGAGCAGACACGCACCGCTAAAGAGTCGCCTAAAGAATCTCTTCGGAAAACTGGAGTTTGCAGCTGTAGGTTGAATTGTGTATATAGTAGTATTGTACCTTGGAGAGATCATCTCAATGCTCAAACGATCCATGCCTCAAGTCTCCTACCAGATTATAAGCAGAGATTGCCCTCTTACTTTGCCATGCTCATATATGGTAGCAAACCGAAAGACCAGAGACCATGAAACATGCACAGAGGCACCATGTCACAGTATACATAAGAGGAAGAGTAGGTTTTGGTTCAGATCAGTTGTAGTAGGGTGACCGTAGTACATTTCTCAGATCAAAGTCACCGTGTCACCGTACAAGTAAGAGAAGGAGTTGTTTTTGGTTCAGATCAGTTGAAGTAGGGTGACTCTAATACATCTTTGAGATCAAAGTCTCCCCGTTCGGGCAATGAGGGAAAAGATAATGTGGGGAAAGCCTTCTGAAAGCTCTCCAACAACTGTTACACAAAGGTACAACAATTCAGATCAACTGTGGCTAAATATATAACACTATATTTCAACATTTAAAGCAACTTAGTTCTGCAGAGTAGTAAAACACTTGTTACTTCAGAAATATAATCTAAATGGGGTTTACTGATTGCTTTGGAATCGGAATATACACTAAACCATCCGTTATACTAATGTGTAGTGTCAATTGGATTTCCAATTCCTATGTCCAAGGACAATATTCATATTTCTTAATATTATAAAGCAATAGAGAGTATTTTAGCCGACTAAAATTTTAGTAGTAAAAAATGTACAACTTTAGGCGACCAAATTTTTAGTAGCTAAAAGAAAAACTCTCGACTAAAATTTTAGTGGCTAAAAATGTAGAACTTTAGGCGACTAAAAGTTTGGTCGCCGAAAATGGTCTAATTTAATTTAGTGTCCAACCTTTTGGCGACTTAAATTTTAGTCGAAAATTGTATACATTTGGCGACTAAAATAATTTTAGTCGCTAATTACCTTTATCGACAATTCTTTGATGACGACTATTGCGACCAAATTATGTAGTTGCTAAAACCCTTTGGTGACTAAAAATTAACTTTTGGTGACCAAAAATTAAGTCGCCAAAAGTGAAAATTTTTGTAGTGTATGATTCATTAGTAAAAGTTATGACATTTTGTTAATCTTATTATGATTGTGGAGAAAAAAGTTGTCGTTATGATTTATTAATAAAAGTTATGACATTTTGTTAATGTTATTATGATTGTGGAGAAAAAAGTTGTGGTTATGATTCATTAGCAAAAGTTATGATTTGTACTACCAAAAGTTATGATTTGTCATGGTGAATCATAATAAAAAATGTTACGATTCAAATGTTATGATAATTGATTACAAATAACTATATTTGTTATGAGTTGTCATTATATTGTTATGATTTATAATGTCTTTGTTATGACACTTTGGTGAATATTATGACTTTGTTATGATTCATTGTAGTATTGTTATGATATTTGAAAAAAAGTTATAATTCTTTCTGTAACCTCCTACATGACCAGTTTAGCAGGTCATTTTTTATGATGTGGCACGATATGGACCATACAATAAGTGCATATCATATGCCCTTTTATAAGGTGCACATTGTAGATTTTCCCTGGAAAAATTACTCATAAATTCCATATTGAAAAATGTTACTCTATCTAGCCCCGAGTGTTTTTTTGTAAACTATTTAGTTCTTTTTTTACATCACAACATCATCATCAAAACAACATCAAACATCATTATCAAAACAACATCAAACATCACAATATCATCATCAAATAACATCAAACATCATCATCAAAACAACATGGCTCATCAAACATCATCATCAACACATGGCTCATCCCTCCCATTGCAGCACAATCACCATCGATATTCCCTCTTCTTCCTGTCGAGGATGAAGCATGGGGAGGAAATGGCAGTGGCCTGGGCAGAGATGGCAAAAGCGAGTTATTACCTTGGGCTAATGAGTTTTGGTCTCTTTCATCTATGCCTTGTAAGATAGCAGAGGAGAGGCAGATCAGAGATAGAACTCGTGTCATCAAGATGCTCTGGTTCTCTCTTTGCGATCGCCGGTGGGATCCAAAACCCAGATTATCGCCGCCCAAAAAACCCTAATCTGGGACGACTCTGTCAACCGACTATCCCTTTCCTTCGATGGCAAACCGGTTCTCCTCTCCGCCATCTCCGGCGCCACCTGGCGGCCCGCCGTCGTCTTCGGTGTCTCCATCACCAAATCTCGCAATGCCAATTCGGTGGTGATCGAAGTCGAAGGGAATTTCAAAATTGAAGCAAATGTTGTTTCGATTACTGAGAAAGATTCGAGAGTGCATAACTATGGAGTCACTGAAGAGGATTGCTTCGCACATTTAGACCTAAGATTTAAGTATTACTCGCTCCGCGGCGACATTAATGGCGATGTTGTGATGTTTGATGATCGAGTTTGATTCCAACATTAGATTTGAGAAGATTCATCAACATTAGTGATTCATCACAACTTCAGATCTATACACATTATGTGATTCATCGCATAATGTTTGATATATTGGATAATGTTTGATTTTTGATGAATAATGTTTGATGTTGGTGATGTTGGATAATGTTTGAAGTTTGATGTTGGTGATGTTGAATAATGTTTGATGTTTGATGAATAATGTTTGTTGACGTTGCTGATGTTGATGATGTTGATAACGTAGTTGATGTTTGCTGATGTTCAGAAAGAAGTGAAATTATAAAAATGCCTATAGTGAACTTTTAACGTTTAAATAGGACTTATTAATCTTATAAAATAAAAGATAAGGCTAAATAGTTTAACAAATTAAGATTTAAAATTTATTGATGTTTTGCCCATAAAACTTTACTCAAATTTAATAATAATAAAAAAAAGTAACAGTCGAGATGCTTTTAGACTTCTTCTCAAGTGGGCATATGGGCCTCAAGTATACATACACATCACGTCATTCGTACATCGTTTTTTTATTCGCACAGAGAGAGACTCGCAGATTTGATAGAGAGAAGTCATATTTGGTCGCAAAAGATGAAGAAGGAAGACACAGTGAAGCTGATCAGCGCCGATGGTTTCGAATTCGTCATCGACAAGAAGGCCGCAATGGTCTCTCAGACCATCCGTAACATGCTTACCTCTCCAGGTCCCTCTCTTAGGCTTTACCGTTTGGTTTCTGAGAAAATTTCATAATGATCGAGAGATTTTGATTTTATTTTCCCTTTACTCTGCGATCGAATGTAAAGTTTGAGATTTTACTTTTTGGATTGTTTCAGGGAGCTTCGCTGAAACGCAGCACGGAGAAGTGACTTTCCCGGAGATCAGCACCACAATTCTTGAGAAGATCTGCCAGTACTTTCACTGGTCTCTCCAATATGCCAGGTTTTTTTTTTTTTTGGTTATTATTTTTTACCCCTAATATTTTATTTATTTATTTATTTATTTGATGATGTTGATGTTTGGTTGCTGAGAAAATATTATAAATAAAATAAATCAAATGGAAATCTTGAATTGTAGACTTTTTCATGGTTTGGTGTTGATTTTGTGTTTCATTTTTTGTATTTTCATCCACGTGAATGAGTGAATGTGAATGATCTTGAGTTTGGATTTTCTTGGCCATAATTTCACTTTTAAAGAAAAATTTGTAATTTGGCATGTCAGAAAAGGTAAATACTAACACTTTACTTTCAGAAAAATAAACAGATCAAGCACTTTCAATTTGAAAATTTATTTTGTTCAAACAAAACACAATTAAGTTTCTTTTTGAGTCAATGAAGATGATTTATCCATTCTATTTTATTAAGCCAACTCTTGAGTTGGAGTAGATTGAAGCTGGATCACGCTGAGAATTGCCTCAAGCAGTTACCTACCCTATCTAAATATTTTAATCGGTAACTGTCGGATCTAACTGATTCACATTCACAAGTGTAGAAAATAAATTTAAATAAGTTGGAGAGAGAGATTTACTGAATGAACCATTATTAAACTAACTGGTAAAACTTATGATCACAATACCTTACTCCTTCAGGATCTTTAAAGACAACAAATTGTACTTTTGGTTAGAAGCACTGAGCTTAAGTACAAATTGTACTTATGATCAAATTTGAAGTTACTCATACTCATAAGACTAATAGTGAAGGTATTAATAATCCCATTAAATTAGTGTGGTATTCACTATCCAATTGGATTAGTAGGATAAATTATTCCCTGGTCCATTGTTTGATTTGCATTGGATAAAAAAACATATGAAGGTAAAAGAGCCTTTTTATTTTATTTCTCAACTCAGGATATATACTTTCACCCCTATCCCATTACTAATAATCCTACAAATTTGTCGGATTACTTACCCATTGGATTAATAATCCTGAAACAAAATTTCAAAACAAACACAGGATTATTGGACCCACGTATTAATAATTCCAATCTCATGTTCTAATCCTGTCAATCAAACATGCCCCTAAATTACAAACACTGAGCTTCCAAAATACTCCTATGCTAGCTGCTACTTCCTATTGGTTAGATTACAAAGAGTAAATCTGAGTTTGAGAAGAGTCTTCCCCTTCTTCTTTAAATGGCTTCTCTGTCTCTAGATTACGCCTGTACCTGCTTTTGAAGAACTGCCTCTACCATGAACTTCTCCTAACTGCCTTGGCTTCTCTTCATGCCATGTGTCCCATCTTCTCGCCTTTTTTAGAGTAATGCAACAGGACTAAACTGGCTGGTGTCACAACTGCCCTGCCACATGCCCTTTCCCTGCTTACTATATTTGCTTTTCATAGATATTGAAGTATTCCTACTAAAAAGCACTGACGACACCAACGTGCGAAACGACACAACACATATTTTCAAATAATGCAGAACATGACACGTGACGGATACACTCAAAATATATTTTATATACTTATTACATGTCATATATTTAAATATGTTATTCTAAGAAAATGAAGAAAATGCAACATAACACTAAGTATGTGAGAGTCACGATTCACTTGGAGTTGAAAAGGATGTGAGTCGACTAAGTCTAACTGGTTGAGGAAAATGTAGTTTATAGCATTGAAGAAGAAAATTGGAAGAAGGAGAGAAGGAGAGAGGAAAAAGAGAGACAAAGAGGGACTAAGAAGCACGGACACAATCACGCAACATGATAAGGACATGCTTACACAAATTTTCAAAATATGTAGGACAAGACACGTGTGGAACACATGCAAACTATATAATTTTATATATTTATTATATATCATATATAAGGATAAATAAGTATTATTTGTCATATATATGAATACTTAAGTAAAAAATAATAATTTTTAAAGTTTAAAGGAGGAGAACAAGTATAAATATATATATATTTAATCATTAGATTCCAAGTTATTTTATTCAAACTTGTAATGTGTTTTATATGTGTCTAAGTATTTGAGGAGTGTTGTGTCGTGTTAGTGTCAGACACGACACGTTACCTTCTTATAAGTGTCCATGCTTCTTAGAAGAGGGAGAAGACCACGAAGCATTGACCGTTCCTTCTCAACAGACCACGAAGCGTACTCATGTTTTGATTTTTCTTCATTTTTTAAACATTTTAGACCCCACTTACATTTTATAATATTCACGTTTCCTACGCAAGTTGCAAATGTTTCCCGAATCTGTCGCTAACGTGTTGGATTGAAAAAATAAACAAAAAATTATGACACTCCAAATTGTTTGTTTGACACATGTCCTTAAGATGTCGATGTTCGTAATGAACTTTCTTGAGAATATGAACAATTGAAACATGGTTTTGTGCTTAGTAAAACTTTATTTATTGCTTTTCTTTATACTTTTTTTAGCTGTTTGATTTTGTTCAGACATGGTAGCTGTAATATGTTTTGACTTATACAGAAGTATTTCTGTTGGCAGTGGGAAGGAGACTGAGTTCCATATTGAACCCGAGCTGACCCTGGAGCTGATGATGGCTGCTAATTATCTCCACACTTGAGAGGATAACCTCTTCTTGCTTCTTGGGCAACGAGACCTGTTAAGCATTGTAAGCCTTTTACACATCAAAGTTTTCCTCAAATGACATCATCTGCTGAAATTTCCTTTTTCTTCTTTTGCGTCGAGATGTAAATCAATATGTCAGGATTACATTATTGCATGCATTCAAGTACATAGCCCAAACTTGCCATGTTCCATCATATTTTCTTTCAAAATTTGGGGATCCTTAACTTAATTATTATTTATCAGGGATACTCGAGAGTGTGTTTGTTGCCCAACGTACAAAGATCTGAATATTGCTGTAACAAGTTTTCCCGGTCTTCTTTCAGTGTCATGTTGCACTGGGAACAATGGTAGGAACTCAACTGGATGCAGATATTGAAGGATGTTATATTGGCAAACTTCTAAAAGCAAAGGGTATATATATTGGTTTGGTCTTCAAGTTGTGCTTTAGGTGGATTGCTTTGTTCTTGGTTTATCTACCTAATGCAAATGCAGTAGTGTAATTGATGAACAGTAATTGGATGATGGAGACAAATAAAAACATTTCACCTAAATAAATTTGTTTATCATTAATCACAAAAATATTTTTTCCTTGACTTTCGTTTTTTATTGTAACAATTGCAAAAGAATATATAAAATATTTTTTTATCAAAATAAATGGAGCATGGAGATTGGTGTTGATAAATGATTACTATTTTTTTTTTTTTGATCGGCAAAGAAAATCTTTATTGATGAAAACATCCAAGGTATGATAAATTACCTCAATAAAGAGGAACTTGGAGCTAATACAAAGCTCCAAGTGCTAGTTAGTGAGGAACCAACAAAAAGAGAGCGAAAGATGATGCCAAAACAACAGACTGAGAAGGAAAAACACAAAAAACCAGGTAGCATAATAGCACACACTACCTGATATGCCTCAAATTAGCCATCAGGCCTAACCACACAATAATCTAACTCAGCAGCAACCAGAGCATACCAGCAACCAGAGTATAGCATACCAGAGCATACCAGCAACCAGAGTATAGCATACCACCATTTCTTGAGAGGAGCCACTGATAGCAATATGCCAGTGCATACCAGCCAAAAAGATGCAGACACAGAACATAATAGCAGCACAAACCAGCCCAACCTCAGCCACTGCTATACCAGCCCAGAACAGACCAGCAGCCCAAACCAACCCCTGATTTGTCTGCAATTGAAAATTAATAAGGATCTTAATAGAAGCTTTCAGCCAGAATGCTCCTCTGAGGCCAGAGAAATTGGGTTGAGCCTATAGGAGCAGCATAAACTAATAAGAGATTATATTGTTTAGCACCGCAAAACCAGACCAACTTAGCTCTGCCACACTCCAATTGATTACTATTGTTTTGTTAGTTATGAAAGAAAGAGAAAAGAAATGGAGTGTCAATTGCTTTCAAATTTTGGACCTTCCACTCCAAGATTGTGGTTGGGAGTGGCGACCCTAGAATTTTTTATAGAGCATCACTTAACAGTTTGAGATTTTTATTTCTGGTATTTTATTATTTTTAGGAATTTTTTTTTTCATATTTTAATCAATTTTTTTTCTTTTTTAGATGCACCTAATTTAAATATACTTAAAATATAAAATATTTATGGAAAAATATAAGAAAAATTCAGAAACTGTATTGTATTTTTGTATGTTTTTTAATTTAATGGATTTTTAAAATATTTTACTTTTTAATCACATTTAGTTTAAGTGGATCTAAAAAGAAAAATAATTTGGTTAAAATATTTAAAAAGTTCATTAAAAATAAAAAAATATGAAAAATGTAAAAATTCAAAAATTATTTTACAAACGGTTAATCAAATAGAAAAATTTAAATTACTAAACGATAGATCTTTAATGGGCGTAGATCATTATTTGATGGAATCTCTTAATTTTTTTAATAAAATTAAACTACATAAAATGAAATATTAACCACATAATTTTTATTTTTTTTGGTGAAGATTTCTGATAACATGATGGGGTCATGGGACCCATCAACAGGCATGTGGAGTCGCCACTGGTGGTTGGAAAGCTTTGCCAGTGTGAAAACTGTTTGGGAGGTTCATGATGTTAGTAAAATGCACCCTTCATTAGACTTGTATCTGAAACAACATGGAGTTGGAAACACAACCTATGGAGCAGTGGGCATTTGGAGACAAAATGTCCCAAGGAGTTTGCTGCGAATGTGTGGAGACTTGAAGTTGAAGACTAATCATCATATTAAGAAAGTCTCTAAATGCATATGAAAGGGTTGGACGTATATATGTTAATTATTGGGTAAATTACACCATTAATCCTCTTAGTTTGAACAATTTGAATCTCATAAATGTTGTTTGTCTGTCATGCGTGGTTAACATTTTAGATGAAAAAAAATCAAGTGCAAAATTAGAGGAATCGAGGTAGAATTTTAAAGCAACTATAAAAACCAACGGTATAATTTATTCTTTACGGCAGTGGTCCTTGCAGTTTTATTTATTTATTTATTAAAATTTTACTTTAGTTCCTTTAGTTTCACACGTGAACTTTTTTTGTTCAAAATTCTAACAATAAAGTAACATAATGACCATATTGCGATAAAATTGATAGAGTATGTTTACATTATTCAAATTGAAATTGCGAAACTCAAACTCATGAGGAGAAGACAGTGTAATTTGCCCTTAATTGTTCTAGAGGAGAAGACATGACTAGGCAACTCATGAGGCAAATCAAACGAATTCTCAATAGTAAATTCCTTGGGGGTCTGGTTCATTGTACAGAATGAATCGGTCCAATTTGAATTCATGAATTTATATTGATTTCTACATTAATATGGTCCAATGTGTTTTTAATGACTCATCTTTTTGAAGGTATAGATGTGTAGATCATTTATGATAAAAATTAGATTAATCGGATAATTATAACAATATAATTTCATCATATTTATGTTTTAAAAGAGAATATTATTTTGAAAATAAATTGTTTGTTTTTAAAAAATAAATACAACAAAATTATTTTATTACAATTATCAGATCAATATATCTACCCATAGAGAAGCTTATAAAGTAAATATATTATTTTCTTAAAGTACGACTTATAATAAAGTTAGGAGTTTGGAATGAATCGAGTCTATCTAAATATAGGAGATAAGCAAAATCTATTCTTTTACTTTTAAAAGAAGAGTAATGTTATGTATAAATGAATTTTTATCGAATTTCCTAATATTACACACGAAGGTATTACACGTGCCATCTAAAATTATTTGTATATAATATTTTCATTTTGAAAATGGTAAAGTATAAGGTCATTGTGGAGAAGAAAAACTTTACCCATTCTTGCAACTTCCAGGAAGCCCAAACGGCAAAGCACAAATACTAGAGACTCTGAAAAAACTACCAAATAATATTCACGGTAGTGTGAAATTTTTGAAATTTTTTTGAAGTTCCTAGCATTGCTCAAGGAAAAATTCACGTATCATAAATGAACAATGATATATAACTCTTATTTAAGAGCTCTAAATAAACTCTAATGAGTTGGCAAGTCAAAAAAGATGAAAAACACCAACAGAAAATGAGTAATGCTAGTTGTTTTTAAAAAATAAATACAACAAAATTATTTTATTACAATTATCAGATCAATATATCTACCCATAGAGAAGCTTATAAAGTAAATATATTATTTTCTTAAAGTACGACTTATAATAAAGTTAGGAGTTTGGAATGAATCGAGTCTATCTAAATATAGGAGATAAGCAAAATCTATTCTTTTACTTTTAAAAGAAGAGTAATGTTATGTATAAATGAATTTTTATCGAATTTCCTAATATTACACACGAAGGTATTACACGTGCCATCTAAAATTATTTGTATATAATATTTTCATTTTGAAAATGGTAAAGTATAAGGTCATTGTGGAGAAGAAAAACTTTACCCATACTTGCAACTTTCAGGAAGCCCAAACGGCAAAGCACAAGTACTATAGACTCTGAAAAAACTACCAAATAATATTCACGGTAGTGTGAAATTTTTGAAATTTTTTTGAAGTTCCTAGCATTGCTCAAGGAAAAATCCCCGCATCATAAATGAACAATGATATATAACTCTACTTTAAGAGCTCTAAATAAGCTCTAATTGGCAAGTCAAAAAAGATGAAAAACACCAATAGAAAATAATAATAATAGGGCAAATTACAAATACCCCTCGAGATTTGGTGAAAATACAGATTCTCCCCTGAGGTTTGAGAAATTACATCCCACCCCCTGATGTTTATATTTTCATAACAAATTACCCCCTGAGTTTTTATTTTCATACAGATTCCCCCCTAATTTTTCCTAATTTGTTATGAAAATTTGACCCTCAGGGGGCAATTTGTAATTTCTCAAACCTCAGAGAGAATCTGTATTTTTACCAAAGCTCGAGGGAGTGTTTGTAATTTGCCCATAATAATAATTGCACATTGGCTGATGCCACATAATTAAAACTCATTTAGAACTCTTATTTTAGAACTGCCAAACCTTTTTTATCATAAAAACAAGCCAAATTTGATTGCAGATTCCAAAAGCCATAACTAGTTAGGTACATGCATCAACATTAAATAGGACAACAAACCAACTTAACACTATATATATAATGCAACACAAGCTTTTTAACAGTCATGTGAGGAAACGAGATTGGAAGAAAGAATATAATGAGTGTCAGTCATAAAAGGATAGCAATTGTTGTCGATAATAGAATCACTGGGCTGCCAAGAAACTTAATACACTCCATTCTGGAGCGCATGCCCGTTAAAGATGCAGCAAGAACGAGTATCTTGTCAAGAAAATGGCGATACATTTGGTCTTCACTCCCGAATCTTGTGTTTGATGAGCACTTCTTTGAGGAGAATTCCAGTGACAAACCGTTTGGAGCACAAGAGTTCGTGAAGATAATCAGTAAAATACTGTTACTTCACATTGGCCCCATTGTCAAATGTACCATCTACATACCATACATAAATTTTGAATTTGATTGCAAGCTTCACATCACTGAATGGCTGTTGTTCTTGACAAGGAATGGTATCAAGGAACTGTGCTTGGAAAATCATACTCTTCAACTGACGCGACTGCCTTCTTATGTTTTCTCTTATCCAGGATTGACACATTTGAACCTCAATGGGTTTAAACTACCAAATTCTTTTTTTGGGTTTCGTAACCTAATTAGACTTGATTTCAAGAATGTTGTATTTGATAGGATTATAAGGAACCTTACAACAAATCATGCCCCAACTCCTACTACTGTGCCACTGCTTAAGATTTTGACATTTGAAGGTTGCATTGGCGTTTACCATCTTAATATCCATGCCCCAAAACTCAAAATCTTCTATGCCATTGATAGTGGCAATGTTAATTCTACCATTTTCAACAGCACCCCCAACCTGAGCATGCTCTACATTGCGCCGGGGAAGAGTGTTGAAAACTTCTCGCAAGTTGAGTACGTTTTTTTGATAATTTGCCTAAAATTGTGACGCTTCATTTTGATGGCTTTTTCCTTAAGGTGAGTATAGGATCCATGTTGTATTTTTTATTTTTTTATTTTAAAAAAAAAATCAAAATTCACTTTATCTCTTGTGATTTGAAGCTGAAACATTTTGTCCTTCTATAGTTAAAATATAAATAGAAAACTTGCATATGATTTTGAATTAAATTGTGGTGGTGGTCAGGGAGGATAGAGGGGGCAGCAACGAGGCCTGACTAGGGGAGATGGAGTGGTTGGAGGTGTTGGGGAGAAGGGAGGGTTAGGGCTTGAAGGGTAGGGTTCTTGGGATTTGGAGGTTGTAAAGAAAGATTGAACGTTTAAATATATATTTTTTTCATTTTAATTTCACTTCAATTTTTTTTTGAAAAATAAAAAAATTGTCCATTCTCAAAATTAACACCTATATTATTCATTCTGTTAGTTTGGATAGAAAAAATATTAATTGCAATATAGTTCAAAATCGCATGAGACTCTGTTTATGTTTGAGATATAGTTGGTGTTCTACCCTCAAACCACATGGGAAAAGTGAAATTTGCCTTTTTTTTGGGGGGTGCATCATATGGAAATTTATAGATTGTATGTTGTTTTGTCTTGTTTGCTTCTAAGCTTTTGGCTGCAGTTCCTGTTCCAAAGAGGATTTCCATTATGTTTAATCATTTGAATGATCTCGTATTGGATGGACTAAGATTTGATGATCTGGATCAAGTGTCATGTGTTCTATGTTTGCTCAGAAGTTCTCCCAATTTGAGAGAACTCTACATAACGGTAAGATTGCTGAAACATGATAAAGAGTATTTATTTTTTAATTTTCAAAAAAAAAAAAATTGATTTTAAGGGTTGCTTTACAATTTATCATCATTTCCAGGTCTCTGCAGGTGGGGCCAATGGCATGGAGTCGGATTTAAGTTATTTGGAAGCACCGGGCTGCATGGACCTTATGTTGAACCAACTTCAGACTGTCAACATAACTTCGATCAATGGATTGAGGTCTGAATTGCTTTTCATCAAATGTGTACTCGCGTCTTCTCCATTGCTTGAGAAGGTAATTGTTCAGTATGATGAAACGGTAGTCGATGCAAAGGAAGGGTTTAGAATCTCAACAGAGTTGATGCGGTTTGGTCGGGCTTCACCAAAGGCAGAATTAGTGTATGTGAAACCATGAAGCTCATTTAGTTCTCCGATCATGACCTCTTTTTAAGATTGTGTTTATTTCTTTCCTCAATACACAATTTCTATTAATTGTACACAATTTAAGGTTGGATGAAAGTACTAAAATTTTATGTTAATTTGTATATGATTTGCTTGAGAAGCCAATTTGGGGGGTGCCAAAGTTGAAATTTTCATGAATCTATGTGAAGTATGACTTGGATTCACCTATTCATACAAATGGCTAACATTCAAATTTCAGTTCCGTAACTCAGTGTTTGTTTCACCAACTTTTTAAGTGTTGTCACAGAAATTAGCATGTATTAAATGCAGTACTGCAATTTGTTGATTTTTCTATACAGATATGTTAAATGCATTGAGGTTTGGTTTGGCATAATTTACGAAAATTAAAAAGTTATTAAAAAAAAGTCAAAAAGTCCATACTATTTAGAGGAAGCTTGTGGGGGAAGCCTAGAGGGCAAAATTATTATTTTGTCCTTTGAATTCAACTACCCAAAAGTCAAAAAGTCAACAAGGGTAGAATGATCATTTTTATTTTATTATAATATTTTATTACACATCTTTTCATAAAAAGTCAAAAAGTTATTTCAAACATACATTTTTTTTTTTTTACTTTTTTAGGCAAAAAGTAAAAAAAAATACACTTATATAACACATCCCAAACAACCTCTTAAACACAGAAAAGTGCACAGAAAGTGTATTGTGTGATTGAAATTTGTCATGAGTCTTGTGTGAATCATATTTAAAAGAAATGTTAGGTTATTAGTTTGTGTTTCAATATTGAATTTGAATTAGAATTTAGTGATGTTTTGGAAAGTTGATAAAAGATTAACTTTTTGGTGGCTTTTTTGGCAAAAAGTTGGGTTATTTTGGGTAAAAAAATTGACTTTTTTGGCTAAAAAAACTAAAAAGCTTTTACCGTTGTTTCCAAAAGACCCCTAAGTAATAAAAGCAAAAAAAAAAAAAAACTAATTTATTCACTTTTATGTATGATGATGCAATATGAAACATACACGGATACATATGTCCTTTTTTATTTCCTTTATTTTAATTTTTTTACCTGCATCAAAATTGAAAATCGTAAGTACAAAGACATGATTTATTTAAATTTTAAAATTGATAAAAACGAACCCACCAAGGTGGGCGTGCCGGAGTGGTTATCGGGCATGACTAGAAATCATGTGGGCTCTGCCCGCGCAGGTTCGAATCCTGCCGTTCACGCCTTTTTAAACAGTCTTTTTTTTTTTTTGGGGGAAGGAAATTGTTTGCCAAAGCTAAATATTGAAAATAAAAACAATATAATATTGTTATAATTATTTTTTAAAATTAAAATTGCCACTACCTTTTAAAGAACAAAAAATTACATTCACCGTCCTTTAGGTTTAGAAAAAATACAAATTATTTTGACATAATTTACTAGCGTCCTTGAGATTTTAATTTACATAACTATTAGATTCATTTTTATTAATAATTTGACAGTTGTATAAATAAAAAAAAATCATTTTCATCTATTTCTTATTTAAATATATACATATATTTTTTAATTGTTTTACCCTCATTAAAATGGAGGCTAATATAATTATGTATAAAATATAAGATTAATTATATTTTTTCAATATTCAAGAGAAGTGTGTGTAATTAATCCAATAAGATATTAGCCCTGTTTGGTAGAGCTGTGGGAAAGTGCTTATAGCTTATGCCTAAACAGCTTATAGCTTATAACTTTCAGCTTAAGCTGATTTCCAGCTTATTCTTAAAGCATCTCCTGCCCCACTCAAAGAATAAGCTGATTTCTGACTTCCACAAAGCTATAAGCTATAAGCTATAAGCTAAACCAAACACATCAAAATAGCTTAAATTAAGCTGAAAGCTGAAATAAGCTGAAATTAAGCTGTACCAAACAGGGCCAATGTGTCCAAAGCCTGATTGCCTTAACCTCAGTATAGTGCCCTAATTCTCCACCTAAAAAAAAAATCCTTAGTGCCCTGTGTACTATTTTCTTTTTGGGTAAATTATATTGATCATCGCTACTATATTTTGGTCATTGCGTCATTTTAATCCTTATAATTTCAATTGACTCGATTTTGACCATGAATTTATGATTGTGCCTCAATTTAGTGTAATTGATTACAATTATTAGTATTTTTCATGAAAAATGTGCACATGAACAACATGTTTCACGTTTTAAGGGATAAAATTATAAACTTGATCAATTTAGTGAGTTAATCGGAACCAATCTGGCCGAGTTAGATTAAAAATATAAATTTTAAACCCAATCTATTAATATTTCAGATTAAAAATATTAGCCTAATTCGACTCCATAAACTAAAATAACATTTCCAAACTTTAAAAAATACGGCTGGCCGACATCCACCCTGCTTCGGCTTGAGACATTGATTAGTGGTTCAGAATTTCAGGAACATCACTTTCATTTTCTTACACCTACATTTTCTTGCAAAAACAGAATATAGAAAATCGCATGATTATTTATAAAAAATTAGATTTATCGCCGTTGCCGGGGATCGAACCCGGGTCACCCGCGTGACAGGCGGGAATACTTACCACTATACTACAACGACGTGTTGGTAGGAGTGGAAGAATTATAATTACTTATTGATAAGTTAATTAAAAAAATGACTACTCAGCCAAGAAAAATTTAAGAACGAAATAATGATGAATAAAAAAATTATTCCCGTTGCCGGGGATCGAACCCGGGTCACCCGCGTGACAGGCGGGAATACTTACCACTATACTACAACGACATGTTGGTAGAAGCGGAAGAATTATAATTACTTATTGATAATTTAATTAAAAAAATGACTACTTGGCCAAGAAAAATTTAAGAACGAAATAATAATGAATAAAAAAATTATTCATATAAAAAAATTATAATCAAAGAATTATTATTCTTATTGCTTTCAACAATTGTAATTCATGAATATATCAAAAGCTTATCCTCTAGATCTATTTCTCAATATAAAGCAAAGTATGGAATCAGCTATTTTAGGTGTTTTTAAGTTTTTATTTTCCATTTTTCAACTAACATCTCTTTTTACATTTTAATGCCATTTGTTTTGGGGGCCGAAAAAGCAATTTGGGGCGGCTGCTATGCAGGTGTCCATTTTGATAATTCAAATGGAAAATGTTTGAGGGCCCGAAATACCTGGCTCGAATGCCCCGAATGCCCAAAACGACGTCGTTTTGGGCATTCGGGGCATTCGAGCCAGGCATTTCGGGCCCTCAAACATTTTCCTTATATTTTTTAGGGTTTCGTTCTACTTCTCAATGGAAAATCCAGAGGAATCCAGCCCCCTTACTCCAAGGCACTCAGCGTAGACGACGATGAGAAGAGAGCCACCAAGCCAATCGCATCTCCTCCTCTTCCTCCTATGCTTGCTGCTGCGGCGGAAAAGCATTCTCCGCCGGCAGCTTCCGGCAACCCCTATTGGACCGCTGACGGATTCCCGCTAGGGCACGGCAGCGTCATGGGCGAACCTCTGCGTCGAGCTCAGTGGGACTCCAGCCTCTTCGCTTTTCTCGGTCGCAACGATGAGTTCTGCAGCAGCGATCTTGAAGTTTGTGAGTTAAAATTTTAAGTTTTGTGAGTTTGATGCTCAATGTTGATGGGTTTTCCTATTTAATTTTCCCAATTTGATCGCTAATTGTTAATTTTTCCCATTGTGAAATTGGCTAATGAAGTCGAATATTACATATGTATGTTTGCATTGGTATGTTTATGCGTGTGTAAATGCATTGACTATTAAGGGATAGAGAGGGAAATTGATTGGCTGGTGAATTATTTATTTATTTATTGTTAAATAATTATGGAGTCTGATGTAATTGGACCTGGTGATATCATTCTGTGTGTAGATTGATATGATTGTTGTGGGATATATGATTGCAGATTCAAATATGAAATATTTATGATACATCAATTGATTATTATCACTATTAGTTGTAGCTGAATTTATGATGAAAGAAAAAATGCGTAGTGTGTGGAAGAGCATCAAATTTTCGTGTTTTTTTGTACATGGCAATTTTCTTAACGGTAGTCATGCTAATTGAGGAGTCTAATTTCTCCATATATATATATATATGTATCATATTTGATCATAGTGATTATTGTTGGACAATCTTCACTGTATTTAAATAAATTAAATTCTGTTGTGTACAAAACAACAACAAGAATATAAAGAAATAAAGAAAATGAGAGAATTTGTTTGATTACAAAAATCAAACTCGAAATAAAAATAAATAAATAAAAACAGATTTTATTTTGTTACAAAAACAAAATTAA